ATATATATATATATATATATACAAAAAGTACTTTTTTATTAGATTTTAAAATTTTAAAAAATAATATTTTGATATGATAAGATTTTGGTGGTATATATATAAAAAATAAAATTTTAAATATAAATAAATAGACATTGGATAGTTGGCAGCGAAGTGTCCCTTCCAAATTTCACTTTATACTAGTTAAAAGATAAATAAAAAAGATAAAGAAAAACAAAATAATAAGACCCCCCCAGTCATACTCTTGCATGGCGTCAGCACTTGAGCGCTTCGGGCCCACCAACTCACTGGATATTAGCTGTCAATCCTCTCAGTGTCTTTCTTCTCGCTCCCCTTTTTTAACAAATATCCCGCCATCGGAAAACCCTTCCCGCCTCCCTGCGGACTCTGCCTCTTCCAGCCTTCGCAGAGCTCCGGCCAGTTTATTCCGGCGATCATAACAAGCGGACAAATCAGACCCTATATACTTCCGTGATTTAAAGCCACATCAGAATCTGACGGGCTCCCCGACGGCGGGCGAGTCTGCTTTTGCCAACCAGATTCCGGTGAGTTAGTTCTCTCTTCCCCTTTCTCCCCGTGCCCTTTTCCAAAAGCTAGGTTTAAGCATCTCCGGTGAGTCTCACATCATTTTGATAATTTAACAATTGAGTTGTTTTCTGATTACTTTGCTTGCATGATTAATAATGTTTTTATAATGATAAAACAATTCTATGAACAAATTTTCTTTATTTATTAGTTGGGAATCGACCTAAATGTTCAATGTGAGTATCTTCGCAGTTAAATTCTTTTAGCAATCTGAATTTATTTCATAAATATAAATTATTAAAATTTATATTTATTTAAATTGGGCTCAAAATCAATAATAAACGAGAACAAGAATTTCTCAGCTCAACTGCGTCAATTTTACATTACTGTTTTACAATACAACAAATTCAACAATTTCTAACTTAGCTGTCGAAAAGGTTCTTAATCAGGAAAGGTGGGGCCTTGGGGATTTCGTGGCAGCAGCCAGATGAGGGAAAAATTGACTTCTGAGGCAGAGAGAGAGAGAGAGATTGTTGGATAGGAAAAAATTAAGCTCACAAGGAAAGACGAGAGCTCCTACACGTGGTTGGTGGTTGGTGCAGATAGGGAAAGGGAAGATTTTGAGTCCATGCCTGATTTGAGCTTTTGAATTATAATCAAATTTGAGCTCAACCTTAACTCTGTGTTCATATAGGCTCATTCATCTGTTTATTCATTTCTAAATAGAATAATTTCAATCCAAACAATTAAGTCTGACTTAGTTATCTGATGAATTATTTATCGAGCCCAACTCTAGCCAGCGTATGAGTTGGTTTGACTCTGTTACACTGCATATAAAAACTTGAACAATTTAATTGGGGCCAAATCAAGGATTATATATATAGAGAGAGGGAGAGAGAGGATAATTTAAATGGTATAATAATGTGATATATTTTAGTTTAACCATTCAATATGTAATATTTTATAAACTTTTCATGGGAAAGAAAAAAAAGATCATTTTTTATATGAATTTATTGATGATTGTAATATTATTCGGGAAAAAAATATTTTCATCTATTAAATTATAATATTATTGACATTATGTATAGCTTATATGTGCCAAAAGGTATAGTTTTGACCAATTATTTAGTTCATATCCTATCACTTAAAACTTAGAAGTCCATAATCCAAATATCACAAGTTTTTGAACTTTTCAGTCTCTGACATTTGGCACCAGCCTCTTCGCTTTGTACTTTGGCTACCTTTTCTTTGCTATAAGGAGTTGCACTTTCAGCTTCAGGAGGAAGAAGTAGCATAGAAGGGAAAGGATGATGATGGTCACGAAGATGGCCGATCAGAAGCGAAGAAATCACTATGATCCCTTCCTTCCCACTCCCAAAAGACTCAAAAACGAAGCTTTGGAAGGCAACGGGTCTTTGTCACATAAAGTATTGTTCTTCTTCCTCTCTCTTATCAAATTTCTGTTCTGTATCAATCCAATTAATGGAGGTTTGCAGGAGAAGAAGGATAAGATAGGAGAGAGAGTGTCTGCTCTGCAGCAGCTGGTATCCCCCTTCGGAAAGGTTTGCTTTCTCTCCCTCCCCCCTTTCTCTCTCCATGTCGACTAATCTCTCTTTTCATCAACAAGTAATGACACAACATAAATAAATGAAAAACAGAGCGACACAGCTTCTGTGCTGACAGAGGCCACAGCATATATCAAGTTCCTCCATGATCAGATTAAGGTTCTCAGCGCCCCATACCTTCACTCCTCTCCAAATGATAGACTGCAAGTAAGCCAAGCAGCCTTAATCTCCACTTTCTCTCTCTAAGATCTAAACACCTAGGTTTTCAAACCCTCTTTGCTTCATTTTTACTCTCATTGCAGAAATTGTTTAATTTCTATTTTAAAATTTTCATTTATTTCAATTCATTTACAGGCTTGATTTGTTCAGGCTTGTTTTAACATTTTTTGGACTTAAATTAGTTGAATCTGATCGAAACAAAACATTTCTGCTAGTTTTCAGGTTTAATCACAAATTAAACAGATGCAATAGTTTCACATCCACTTAAATAAAAATAAAAGATTACTCTTTTGGTGCGCAGAGTGGCAGCTTGAGAAGCAGAGGACTCTGCTTGATTCCAGTAGCTGCAACAGTTCAGATAGCTAGAAGCAATGGCGCTGATATATGGGCTCCTACCACCAACTAGCTTCTTCTTCTTCTTCTTCTTCTTCTTTCCTTCATTAATGGCGGCTGAGTGAATCTAACATTAATCTTTCAAGATCCTGACCGTGTCTCTCTTTATAAAAATACCCATCTATATTCATATATATGTGTAGATTATATGTGCTAATTACTTTGCCGTATCAGCTGAGAGAATATTGAATTGAAACAACTCAGCTGGTTTTACGATTGTATTCAGATTCTGCCGTCTCTGTAAGGCATAATGGGACGTCATGTTGGGTTTTTAAAGCTCCTGAAAATAATTAGCTCTTGTTGCTGGTTGGAGGTCTGTAGATTTCTATCAGAATTTAAGGACAATATTGAAAGCTTTAGTTCGGTTTTGGTTCGATCAATCAAACTGTCATTTAATAAATATTTTCGAGTGTGTTTGTTGTTGGTTGTTGAATGTTTGGAGCATTTACATGCATACCAACCAATTCCTATGCATTTACATATCTAACAACTAAAATTTACTTTTCTATATTTATATCACCTAAATCTCTCACATCACATAAAAATGCCACCATTTTAACTTCTGGGGAAATTTACATACCTGGCACACAATTCTTATGTATTTACATATCTCAAAGTTAAACTTTTATGTTTACATACAATGGAATCTGTCGCATATGAGTTTTTTAAAATGATTGTGGTAGTTTTTTTCTTCTTTTCCACTGTAAATCTAATTTGCTTACATGAAGAAGATAGTCTATTTTTGTGTGAAATTAGATTTCATTTTTTTCTCCCTTTTGGGGAGCTTCTGCATAATCTATGGCGGGAATTAGAATCCTGTAGTTGTTTGATGTCAGCTTCATTTTTTTTCTCCATCTCTGCATTCTTTCTGCATAAAATTTCTCACCGAATGAAATAGCTATGAAATACCGTTGGTAATCGCAACCTATGGTTGTCACTTTTACTATTTGGCAGGATGTAAGTTAAATGCAGCTTTAATTCTAATCAAAGGCTGCTAGCAAACAGTCCCTTATTTTGTGTAATCGGAATGGAAGCTTCATATCTGTTTTCTTTGTGGTGGTTTATCATTATGGGGCGGGCATGAGCCATTATGTCCTGAAGGAAACATTTCATTATACAGGCTAATTTTGGGATGCGGATTATTGCATAAAAAATCATTTAACAGAGTATCGTCTATGTTTCTGAACATTATTTTAATTTAGCTTAATCTTTTCCTTTTATGTGTTGTTGCGCTTAGCTTTTCTCACTTCTCCGAACTTTCACCAAATGGTTATACCGTCAAAACATACAAATGGAGCAATTATGAAAAAATATGTGGATACATGTGGTCCACTTTATTAAAAAATAATGTGGATACTTTATCAACGTTTTGTATTGTGAGAAGCAAAACTTACCATATGGATGAAGCAATTAAGTTAGCACCTAAAAAAAATCATGGCAACTAATTTGCAATTATAGACTTCTTAATTTTTCGTAGATTTCAAACAACTATAGAAATTACTTCACCTAAAAGAAAGTCTATGTATCAGCATACTACATATTTTTTTCATCTAAAGTTAATCGCCACCCTTATTTAATCAAAAAAAGTTGTTATTGCTTGTCATAAATGAACTAAACATATTCCTTGTCTGATTTTGATGAAGTTAATTTTATTGGCTTAGGACTGTGACAACTGAGATTATTATTATTATTTTTTTTTACTTTATTGTTGTTCATTTTTAGGCTGCGCAAAAATTACAAAATCAAAGTTATAACTGTGAAATTAATCCAATTAGGATGAGTTATGAGTTTATTGCTTGCTCAAAGACATCTGTCGCACTTGGTTAACGTAAATGTGGTGGAAGAAAAATACAAATGAGAAGACTACATAATGAAATTAAATAATCTAAATAAAAATTTAATGGCAATTGTATAATGAAGATGGATATAACATCTGATAAGGCGTCCATCAACACCCAATATAAGGTTTGAGTATACAAAAATGTTATAATGGTAAGTGAAACTTTATCTTTTGTAATCACAAATTTAGTTTATATAAATACCATCAAATATTTGAGTTTTTTTATTAACTAAATTATTTGAATTTAATCTTCCTAATATATTATTGAATAGAGCATAACTCGTTTTCTTCAGTTATCATGCTTTCAGTACTTAGATTGTCAATGCAATATTTTAATGATATATATGAGGAAATTTATGTCTGAGACGTCACTACATCGTCGTAGTGGCAGCTAGCGACCCAGAATAGAGGAAGATTCACTGGTATAGTTAGGAGAACCTTAAAATTCATCACGGACACAGAAGTGGCCAGAACAACATAATGTTTTTTTAGGGGAGTTGCTTATGGAACATTCTCTATGTTGAAATATTCTCTCAGGTTTGCTGAAGAAGCTCTTATGGGATGATATTGTCAAAATGCTGAATATAATATTAGGCACAACTTATTTCATCTCATTTGTGATGACAAATTTATTCAAAATCGTGCATTAACTTTTAAATTAAAGTGGTTGAGGTTGGGATAAAGAGTTACACCTACCGATAACAACAAATGAACTATAAGAAGAATTCATACAGGTTAGTTAAAAAGAACTCCTTCTAGTTATTACACTTTATTAAGTTACACGATCTAATTAAAATAAATTAAATTCAAAGTTGGACCATTTTAGATGAAATCCATTTCACCATTATGATGTATTTGAGAAGATATGTGTTGATAATATTATGTTAGCTTATGAGCACAATCAACTGTTGATCGAGAGATGAGGAGGAATATTATTCGTGAGATGGTTATCGCTCCAAGGGAAGATATCTAAGAAGATGAATTCATAGCTTCAAATGTTGACGCCTTGATTGAGGACATTAGCATGTCGCTAACCCTTGTGCACATAATATATGATGACTCAATGGTGGATCAAGAGAAATTTAGTGCTAGAACCAAACGACGCAGCAAAGAGAAGATTCCAGTATCACATAACACCACAACATGAGCTGATTAAGAGGCATTCAACAAATTACTTTCTACGCAGATGGAGAGTGTTGCAGTTTTGAAGCACTCACTAGACCAAAATGCCCTATCTCAATGAATGATCGTCATGTAAAGTTGGGAAGTATCGATGAAATCTCAAATTAAGCCACACTTGATTTTCTTGATGCACTCAATGAAAATAAGAATAATAAGTATTTACTCTTAAGATTCAAGGCCATAAGCTTTGTCATTTGGTTGTGCACATTCTTGAAAATCACCACCTTTATTATTTAGATTTTGAGATTTTATAGCATATTAATTATTTTGTATTAAAGTCTCAATAACCCAACTAGCAGTAATGTTGTAGTTTTTTTTATCCCTCTCCGCATTTCTTCCCCTTGTTATCTTTGTAGTGTAATATTGTTAGTTTTATTATTCAAGTATCGCTTCTTACATTTTTACTTAAGTTATTTTAACGCTCAAATTGATATCTTCAGGCAGGATTTTGTACTAAAAATTTGCTTAAATATCACAAGAATGCCTACTTATTCTCGCAACATATTATCAAATACTATGTATAATTTCATAAATAATTACATTGATGTAACTAATATAATTAATGAGCTACTACCAAGAGTTATGGATAGTAGCTCATTCGATGATGATGAAGTTATTCTAAGACTAATGTTTGATATGGCACAAAGGGCAATAGTATGTTATTGATGTTCTTAGTTAACATCCTTATACATTAGTATAACTATCTCAGGCTCACACCAAAATTTTTCACCGAACTACAAGACATTCTAGTAAATCATAATCTAATAATGATACGAGAAATATGATTGTTACAAAACAACTTAAAATTTTCTTGAGAAAAGTCTCACATGCACATTCATATAGACAACATCGCAATTTCATTCAACATTCATAGAAAACAGTTGGTAGGTACTTTAATATTGTTTTACAAGTAATTTTTTCTTTAACTGAGGAATACATTTAATTGTCAATAGAAGAATTTTAATATCACCCTTACATCTGTTCTAACCAATAATTTTTATTCTTTCTTTGAAATGCAATTGGAACAATTGATGTCACACATATACCTGTTTTTATTGATTGGGATTCACACAATAGATATTGAAACAGGAAATGGTTTACTTCACAAAATGTGATGGTGATTGTCTCATTCAACCGTCATTTTTTTTGTTGCTTCTGTTTGTGAGGGATCTGCAGCTAATTTGAGGGTATTGTGTTGGTCGATGGAGAAAAATCATTTCGTGTGCCACAAGACCAGTATTACCTTGTCGACTCGGGATATTCTAACACCAACAAATTACTAGAATCATATCTTGGTTGTAAGTATCATTTTAGAGAGTAATGTGGAAAAAAAACTCGCAATTACTCAAGAGAAAAAAAGTTATATAACCATCGGCATGCCCAATTACAAAATATAGTACAAAGAACATGTGGAATCTAGAAGGTTATATTCTAAGTTATAACTGATATGCGATAGTTTCCATTTAGTGTGCAAGGTGATATTGTCATTGTGTGTGCCATCTTACATAATTTTATTGATAAGCATCACAGACATGATATGTACTTCAACATTTCCTAGACTAGAATGCATCATGAAAGAGAAGTGAGTGAGATGATCAGTACAGGTGATGGTCCTAATCTGCATGCGACTATTATAGAGAAAGTTAAACGTGATATCATTTGATATGCAATTACTACAAATATGTTGGAATCATGTGTAAGAATTTTTACTAAATTATTTTATTCCATTTTTCATATATGTGTTTTATTTTTGTTAGCTTAACATATGCTGCAGAAATTTGAATGAAAACAACTCAACAATTTTTAATTTATTTTTGTGCTCTGTGTTTCATTATAACATTGGAAACATCTTTTTATGTAAGAATTATTTAATATCAGCTTAGGCGAAGCATGTATTGATTGTTTTCAATATCATTACTCCAAAGCTCACTTCCTTAAATCTTCTTTCCATGACATTTACTACAAAGGAAACTCCAACAAAAAGGGACTATCTTAATGCATAGTGTTTGGACCTTATATGTTGAATTTCCATTGTTTTTTTGGAAATTTTCTCTCTAGTTTTCTGTGGACTAATGCTTCTTATTTATTAATAATGTTGTCACTTTGTTTTTTGCAACTAATGCGCCTGTCTGATCAAATCATGGTATAAGATATTGATTGCCAGTGGGGATTAGGTCGAGCTGTTTTAACTTGAATGGATAAAGTTGAGGGGGTATCATGGGTCAAGTTGACTCCTTGGACTTGATTCATTTGCTTGTGTTCGATAGCACTTCTCTATAAATAATTCTGAATAATTTTAATTCATAATCAAACAAATATTTTATAAAATCTGTATATTCTATTCAAATTAGCTC